AGATCCTGGTAGGATGTGTACAGGTGCTCAGTCCTGCCCTGAAATGGGATAGCATTCGTGAAACATTCTCTCCCTCTTCTTTCTTACCCTAAAGCTGAATGGGCTCAAATAATGAGAGTGAAAGGCTAATTAATGAGGTCAGAGGAAAGATTTGTTCTCCATTAACTCACTGCCTAGGCCTTGTATTGCTACATAACAAATCACTTTCCAATCACTCACATAAAACAACATCTTATCTCTTCTCTAGGATGTCTTGAACATCACTGCAGGATTCCAAAGGCTGGAATGAAGGGTCTGTGCTTTCTTTTTGTAGCAAGACATGAACCTGGCTAGATCTGGGACTCATACTGTTTCTGGCCTAGACTTAGGTCACACCCATCTCTCTCCCATCTCTACTCACCCCACTGCATCCTCTAACTTTTCACTTTTGTTATTGGAAAGACATGTCTGTCCATTGGTTGAAAGAGGAGGTAGTGGATGAAGGGAGGACAGGAGGAAGGCTTGGACCAGAGTAAGCATGGGAACTGCTTTGAAGCCCAGGGTAATATGGTCCCCAGTGTGTGTGTGTGTGTGTGTGTGTGTGTGTGTGTGTGTGTGTGATCAGATAATGGGGATCCTCCCTCCCTTGGTACCCTCTCCATATGACTCAGGAAGACATAGCAGAGCTGCAGTGCTGTCTGTGATCAGCAGTGTAGCCAGGTGGAGATATTCTTAGGAGGATACCACATAGCTGGAGATCTTGAAATGTCTTTCCATCAAATGGCTGGTGACCAGCGCACACAATGAGGAGACCTATGGAAAATAACATGACCAGCCTGGTTCCTAAATATAGTCACCACTGGAAGGTCTCTGACACCATGGAGAGGCAGAGGGGATTGACAGTGATGGCCAAAGTCCTAAATGAGTAGAGGAGAGTGAAATTAAGATGTTAACTTATTCATCTTCATTTACACCCATGGGTTAGTGAAATGGAGACAGTTTGGGTCTCCTAAGAATATCCAGTCACTAAGCTTAAGCTACAACTAGCATTCATGGTGACAAAAATATTCTGCCTCCACCCTCCCCAAGGGCAATTGCCTCTTTATCTTATGTTACTGTCTTATGGCTCAGCACCTGGAAGACAGAACCAGTGGATTCCCAACTTACTTAACCTCTTGGGAAAGGGAGAAAAAAATGTTTAAATGGACTGAGAATCTGTAGAGCTGCCATTGATCTCTGAAATAACAGTTTCCAAGAAAGGTGCAGACCGAAGACTGCCGGAACATATGGAAAGCATCTGGTGACACATCTTGATAGCAGGGGACCCTTCTTTCTGTCTGCAACCCTGGTCCCCTGGCCAAGACAGAATCTCTGGAAAGGCTGGGCTTTCCTCCCATTCTAGGATGGGATTTGGGATAACGCTGATATTTATGCTCTCCTGTAGGTGGCGCCACAATGTAGGTTTTCAAGCAGCCTCAGGCCAGAGGTTTTTATCCTGAGTGCCAGGCAGGACCCAGTTACGGGGAAAATGTCTCTATAGCACCACCAGGCTCTAGAAATTTGTTTAATGAGCAAATCTGGTTTTTATCAGTGAAAATCGCAGCTCTCTTCCTAAGCTAATAAAATGGTGGTAGCCAAGTGAAGGCAAAGTTAGGATTCTTCTCTCTTCCCTTAATCTGGCCCTTTAAAAAATTCAGCCATGAGATGAGCCAATACATTTCTCCCCAAACCTGGCAATGAACCACAGCCAAAATCTCACAAAAATAGCCTCTTTAGAAAATAGGACTCTATGAAGCAATCTGCCATTTAACTTCTCCTTCTTGTGGCCATGGGGCTAGACACTGAGACCTACCCAGCTCTGCCACCTGGCCTGGGATGGAGTGAAGGACTCACAGATCCATGGTCAGCTGGGAACAGCTAGACTTCCCAGTGTGTGCCTCTCTCTTTGTCCCTCATTGACTAGTGAGGGTGGTGGAGGTGTGAGAGCTAGAGCGCTCTCTTGTACCAAGTGCAGGAGCATGTGTATGTGCCTCTCTCTTTGTCCCTCATTGACTAGTGAGGGTGGTGGAGGTGTGAGAGCTAGAGCGCTCTCTTGTACCAAGTGCAGGAGCATGCTCTGATCACTGCAGATGCCGCCCCGTCCAGTGTGCTGATTCATGGAGAAGGATCGGGACAGCCGAGGGCCTGCCCTTGTTGCATCATACCACTTGAGGAAAAGATATTTTCCTATAAAACACAGTGCTAATTCTTTACTTGTGTGTTGTGCTTACCTTAGAGTTTCAAATCACACTAGCAAGCCCTATCCCTTCAGAACGTCACTACAACTAGGAGCTGTAAATATGGCAGGATGGAATGAACTGAGAGCAGGGATACAGGGATGGTCAGTGGCAGAGTCAGGAATAGGACTCAAATCTGTTAATCTCCAGGGTAGACACCTACCCATGCCCCCTCCCATCCCATTCTCTAGACTTGAGGGAATATTCAATAGGCCATCAGGTCTCTTGCTGTGGCTTGCTTGACCCTTCTGCTGTTCCTTACAATGATATTGCATGTAACTGTCTCTTCAGCCTGCCTTCCTCCTGTGGTATTCAGTGGAAGGCAGGGAATGGAAAGGCAGTGTGAGGGAGGGTCCCATTAAGGACAGGAGAATCGGCGGGGGCTGCACCTGCCCTTTGTTGGTTCAGCTTTCTGCACATTCTTCCTGTCATTTGGCTCTGTCATTACTCTTCAGGCACCACAAGACATTCATTTCTCTGAATGAAAATAAATGACACCACACACTAGGCAGGAGATAAAGAATAATAAACACATTTTATTTGCCACCTCTGAAAAAAACATCTTTGACTTCCTGTCCATCCATCAGGACCTGGGCCAGGAATTTGCAGCCAAATTTACACATACACACACACACACACGCACACACACACACACACACACACACACACACACACACACACACACACACAATAAGGGGCAGAAAAGACAACAGGGCGATATTAAAAACACTTGCTGGAATCATTAGCTGAGAAGGAAGCAGAGATGGTTATCATTTCCCCTCCCTTCCAGCACTTTTAGGGAAGTAGCCAAGTGGCAAACAGATTTGAAAAGATTCTTTGTGCACATTTATTGAAACACATTCTTTAAGTAACTGGATGAGATTTTCTGTGATGCTTTCTGGCTTGTCACTCTGTGGGGTAGGTCTGTGATGGTGCCATGTGACAATTTCAGAGATTCCTAGAAGATGGTCCAGGCCAGATAAGGCGAAACCTTATGCAAACCCGAGGGTATGACTTCCCTTGATTTTGTGTGCCAGGTGTCTCCCTGGCCTCATGTTGATCCCAGTGCCTTACAGACAGACATTTGGCCACGGGGTTTCCTCTGTTCTGGAAAGATGTCAAAACATCAGCAATATGGAGTTATTTGGTTATGTGTTTCTCTGGGCTTCTGAAACTAACTTGATATTGTGTGCTTTATCTCGAGTCTGGGATCCAGGGTTTCTGAGAAGAGAGGAGCCAGATCAATGTATTAACACAAGCTAATAAGATAACTCCTTGCTGCTTTCTGGGCCATGCAATGCTCAGCGGACAACCAGAGCCTAACAGGGCTCCATGCTGTCTCCTGGAATACCCTTTAACCAGAGAATCAAATGTCTGGTTTCCTCCCTCTCTGGCTTGATTCATTGCCTCCTTGCTGGTGAGAGCAAAGTTTCAGCAAGGTCCTGTGTGGGTAAGCTCAGCCCTATCCACATGTGCTCAGCCTGCCTGGGGGCTTGTATAACCTGTCATTTCCCAGCTCGTTTCAAAGTCTCCCCAGTTGATAACTTTGATTTCTGTGAAAATATAACCCTTATAGGAAGGTGTAGGAATTTATGCTGCTGTCAGTTATTTCTACCTAATAAGCAGGTTCTGAGAGGTTTGTATGGGAGGGACAGTTATGTGTAGGAAGTCACTGGGTTTGAGAAAAAGTTGCAAAAGGAGCATGGGTAAGGGGTGGGAGCTCCAAACTTAACTTCTTGAGAGGCCCTTCCTCGAGGAGTGTCTGTTGGAGAGGGCTCTTAATAGACACAACTGATAGTGCTATTTCCTGGAACTATGGTAGACGCTGGCATGCAGAGTAGAGTAAATAAATAAGGTGGGCATCCTGTGTCTTTTTGGTGGGTGGGGTAGGTTGGTGTGGAGGTCTATGCAAAGATTTTCTAGGTATTTCTGTGTACTTGCTGTCCTCACTGACTTCCACCCAACCAGACTGAACTAAAGCCACCTGAAATTTCTTTCTTTGGGCTTCTGACACAACCCTGATGTTGGCATGGTCTGTTTGGGATGTGGTCCAGGATGTAGGGTTTCAGAGACAGAGCAGCAAGGTCAGTCTCTTCATGGAGACACCCCTGGGTAAGTCAGGTTACCCAGCAAGCTCTGGGGCACTGGCCATTCATTTCTCTCCCAGGCCTAGAGTCCTTGGTCTTAGGCATCTCTAGTGCCCTGTTGGGGTGTCTTGGTAGGGGCCAGGAACTGGGCCAGGGTTCTGGGTTCAGCATAGATGTATGCGTTGGCATCAGCGTGTGCCGCTGTCAGCTCTGAGCACCTAAAGGTCCTTCCAACCGCCAGGGCCCACATGCCTGCTTGGGAGTGCGTCTCAATCCAAGTGCGCATCATGCCACCACGTATGCACCCCTCTGCCCTACATCGCTAATGCCAGGGTGGCTCCGGGAGGTCGAGGGGACCTGGGGGTTATGCAAGCGTCCACACAGGGTGAGCTGGCCGCAGCAGTGTGTGGGGAGGCGCCCCCTGCCCCCTCTGCCGGCCGCTCTCCCTTGGTCTAGATGTCAGCCGCGAGCTCAGAGCCAGCAAGCGAGCCAGAGAGGGAGCGGCGGCGGCGGCGGCGGGCGGCTGGGAGGGGAGGTGGCGAGTCGAAGGAGGGAGGAAGGGAAGCAGGGAGGGCGGGAGGGAGGAGAGGAGGACCCAGAGAGCGCCAGGCAGCTGGAGTTTTTGCAGCGCTTGGCCGGGCTTCAATGCACAGCAGCAGCGAGCCGCGGCGGCAGCAGGCAGCCCGGGAGCTCCGGCGGCGGCCGAGCCAACGGCGGCCCCGCTCCCTGCCCCCTGCAAACTTTGAGAGCAGCCCGCCCGGGGGGCCGGGGGCGCGCCCGGGAGGCCCGGCTTGGACCACGGCCGCGCTGTTGGCCGCCGCAGCGCTCGCCGCCGCTGTCGTCGCTGCCACCACCGCAGCCCCGCGCCTCCCCGGGGGAGCAGCTCGCTACTCCCGCGGCCCCTCAGCCCCGGCCCCTGGGCACTGCCCGGCCTGTCCCCGGACAGGGGTGGGGGCAGCAGCGGCGCAGCCAGTCCTGGGCTGCCTGGGGGTGGCGGGCAGTGCCCAGGGAGGCGCGCAGAGGCTCGGAGAGCGCTCCCCGGCGGGTCCCCAACGCTCTCGCCGCGCCCGGGCAGCGGCCCGACCCGGCTAGCATGGGCGGCGCGGAGTGACGCCGCCGTGCCCGCTTGGCATCAAGGACATTCAGCCCGCGGGGGTGGGGACGAAGGGGAGACAGCCCCGCGTCGCCACCGCAGACCCCGAGAGCCACCACTGCTGCTTGGGCTCCGGGGCTGGGTGGAGGAAAGGGGTGCTTGGAATCAATCACATTTTCTGACCTTTTTGTCGGACATTACGCCCACCTTGGACGCCACAAGAGGAGCTGTCAAGCCCCGCAGACTGTGATTTGGCTCCCTCCGTTTTCCTCCGCTGCTCCCGGCTTTCCTGTGCCTCGGTGGAGTATTTGCGTTCGGGGCTGGGGCTGGAGGAGGCAGCCACACGCGCGCACACGCACACGTTCAGAGGAGGGCGAGAGGCAGAGGCACAGGCACCATCTGCAGTGTCAATGCGGCGCTCCCGCTGAAGGAGGGAACCGCGGTGCTTCCAGGTAAGGAGCAGCGGGTCGGGCGCGGGGCCAGCTGGCCAGAGCGAGCAGAGGTGTGGGTCCGGTCCGGGAGTCCTCAGCTGCCCTGGAGCCAGCCTGCTGCACACACACCAGCATATACACACACCCGCATACACACACGGGCACACACACACACACACACACACACACACACACACACACGCACGCACGCACGCACAAATGCACATAGGTGCACACCGCGCTCACGCACCTGCCCACGTCCCACCTGGACACCCGCGTAGGTGCAGCGCAGCCGGAACAGGGATTTCCCGTGTTCTTTTTCCTCTCTCTCTGAACCTAGACTTCAATCTTCCCCAGGACTTTCAGGGTGGGATTTGGTATGACTGACTCTCCTATCCACCTAGGTAGGTTAAGGGAGCTGATTTTGCAGTTTTTAGCTCCTTTCATCCCTAACTGGCTTTTTTAAAGAACGAAGTCATTGGAGGTCTTAGGAGACCCGCCCAGTGCAATCGCCACCCCGTGGCCTTTGGACACCCTGGGATTTTTATGGGAGAAAAACGGACAGATATTTGGACAGAGGTTTGGAGATTCTAGTGGCCCGGCGCGGAGGAGGAGGCCACAGAAGCGGCTGGGGCTGCAGTTTCGTTGGGCGGCGCATATGGAACAGACACTGCGTTTCCCCAGCAAGAGGCAGCATACACGCCTTTCCAAAGCGTGGCACTGCTTCCCCGGAATGCGCCGAGATTTGAGACAGGAAGGGGCTCTAACATCTTTACCATCGGGGCGCAAGTGTTCCTTGTCTAGGAAGGGTGCTGCTGTCCTTAAAGGTGGATCAAATTTAACATAGCCAGTCGCTGGTAGTCGGCAAGCCGACAGGATTTGGAGAAGCAGATTTGTGGCCAACCCCTCACCTCCCTATCCTTCCCTGGGCACATGGGAGCGGTTTTCCCCATGTGTCTCTAGCTAGCACCTGTCACTTGCCTTTTGAGGTGTCTGGGGGCAAGAATTAGGGGGGAGAGTAGAGAGAGGTATAGTTCTCCTAAGGACTTCCAGAGAAGGAAGACTGTCCTGACCACACTGGCATGCCCATTCTATAAAGCACTCCTGATTCTGGCAGCAGCCATCCCCTGGAGCCTAGTTGCTCCACAACTGCTCTGTAGAAGCCAATGGCTCAAGTTCTATTTCCCCAGAGCTTTTCCTTTCCTCCTTGGCTGGAGTTTCACAGGCTGCTCATTTTCAAACTTTTCCTAGCAGAGGTGGGAGGTGGTTGGAGTTCCAAAGGGTCTTTTCATGGTTCCCATGCTAGATTCTCAGAGCAACTGCTTTGGAGGCTCAGTTGTTACAAGGAGAATGGAAGATTCAAACAAATAGTTATTTTGGCCTCATATATATATATATATATATATATATATATATATACATGTGTATGTGTGTGTGTGTATATATATATATATATATATAAAAGAAATGTGAAAACAGTTCCAATGTTTCTATCACTAAACCTTTGTGGTGTTTTTTTTTAGGCATCCTGATAAAAATGGGATGTGCTTATATCCTCTTTATAAGATCATGTGCTCAAAGTGTCTTACAAACCTGCCAATGGGAGAAACATGTTGGAAGTCTTCCAGAAGGCGAGGGACAAGGAGCAAACATTCTTTTGAACCACGAGGCCTTAGTGCTAGGCACAGGATTCAGACTGCCTTATAAATCCTGGAGACAGGTACAGCTATAGAGGGCTTTTTTTGCACTCCCAGTTCTCTGGCTTTCAAACTTTTCTCAGCATCTGTCAAGGTCTCTGGCTAGGCTTAGGGGAGAAGAGCAGGTGCCCCCAGGAGGGAGATTGTATTCCTGCTGTGTGTGGTGTAAGCTGCCCTTTGATTGATTGAAAAGGGTAGCTGGGATAAAGCAAACCTCTCACAGTGGGGAAATGCAGTCGGAGAAGCACTATTTTCTTTTTAAGAATGGTGGGTGTGCATACATCCAGGTGTACACATGCATTCTTAGAGTCTTCCCAAATGCAGTCAGCTGGTCCATGCATGTGTGACAAGGATATCCACTTCTGACTTCTGAACTGTGGAAAAAACTGGCATGTTTCTGCATGGACACCCCTTAAGTGTGCATAGATGGGGTGGTCCCATGTACCTGTGTATGCATATGGCTGTAGCACATAGTTCGAGGTACAGCAACAGTGGATGCCTTACAGAGAAGCATTCCCTTGGGGGACCAGTGAGGGGCAGAAGGTTGGGGTAAGAGCTTCCTGAATTGCACATACATCTTCCCCAAAGGCCTCTGCTCCTTCTTCCCTTTCTCGTATATTTACAGCTTCAGGATCTGTCATTTTAATGCAAAGTCAACTGTTCTTATGCTGGTTGGAAGGTAAACATCAGGGTTCAAAGAAATCCCACTTTCTTCACTTGCCATTGGGTACCAATGTGGTTTCTAGGACCAGGTAGGTAGTAATGAACATCTGTGTAAAGCTGGGAGTGTATGTATTTCTTTCTTTTTTGCTTAGTCCTGGCCATAGTGTCCTCTCTCTGTCACTCTTCTATGGTCTTTTTAAGCTCTGTGGTTCTCATTGGAAGGCAGTCAGCATATATTAGAAAAGGCCCAGCCATGAATGCTTCTTTTGGTCCAACCCTCATTATGGCTGGAGTTGTTCTGGAAGCTGTCCTGTGAGCCCTAGGCATTGTCACCCATAAGCTTCCCCTTCACTTCATCCTGCATGCCTAAGGAAGCTCTCTGAGTATCTCCAGAAGGAATCCTAGGCAGCCAACTTGTTTCCTTTTTCCTTTCCTGTGTCTCTATTCTCTTGCTTCAGCTCTGCTTCCTGTAGACAGGGAAATCTGCAGGGCAGAATCTGCCTACGCTTGGCCTGTAGATCCTTTGAATCATGAGAAGGACTGCTGGGGATTAAGTGGGGGCTTTCTTTGGCGGCAACTGCCTGCCTTGAGGAGAGAGCTCAGGGGGGTGGGTTAGTAACTGCTCTGAGCTCGCAGGTATCACCAGGCTTTGATGCAAGTGTCTCTCCTCTCAGCCAGCTAGGGGGCATTTTGCCCATTCTCACCAGAGAAGGCACTGCACAGACAATGCACATAGGAGACCTGTTGGAGTGGCCCTCTGACTGGCCATGATGGGGTGGAGGCAATACTGTGAACCTACTGTGGTCTTGGCTCTGATTACTTACAACAGATGTGCCACCCTCTCCTCCCCTCTTATTTGTGTCCAGTACTACCTGATGGGAAACTGGTTCAGACCCCGAGTAATTGAACAGGGTTCACTTCTCTCCCTTGACACCCGCTTTCCTCCTCCTTCAAAGCTCCATTCCTCTCCCCTCCCTACTTGCTAATCCACCTCCCGGCTGGCTTTGTGCACACATCCGCCAGCCCATTCGCCCTCAAATTTGCGGCACTCCAAGAAATCAATATAACATGAATTTAACGACAGCTGGATGATTAAGTGTTATTTATATTTAAGAGCGGCATTTAAAAAAGACGTTGTGCTAATAAATCAAAGGGCTGTTTGGGAGATGCACATGATTAGGGTAATTGCCCTGGAGGCTCCATTGAGCAGTGCTTGGTCCACACCGAGCGGTGCAGACACTGTCTCTTTAAAAGCTTATCCTCTCACCTCCCTCCCCTAACACCCACCCTATCCTCTCTCACTGTCCAGACTTACTCTCTGGTCTCCTAGCTTCCCTGGCTACAGCATCTAGTTTGACAGGAAGGTGGAGCCATCGAGGAGACAGAAAGGGGCTCTGCTGCTAAGTGGAAAGAGGTGGATCTTAAAAGGAAAGGCAGGCAGGGGTCCTAATTCCCTACTGGAGGCCTTGTTCTGGAAGGGAGAGGTTGTTTCTCTACTTGTTATGAAGCAGCTTGGCAGAATAGCTTCCTGTGTGAGGACCCTTGGTCCTATGATCATGTGGCATCAGCCTCCCCAGGGAAGTGATTGGGGGGACATTAGTATTGGTTTAGCCCTTATGAAAACATTGGAATGGAAAATAATAGCAATTAATGCTGATAGTAGTGACCAGTGTTTATGGAGCTCTTCCTTTGATCTCACATCATTTAAGTATCCTACATGGGGTTACCTGTTTATTTCTCATAAATACCAAGACAGCCAATGGCTATTGCTATCCCTGTTTCCAAAGCCTCCAAAAGGAAATGAGATGAGGGGGGTTAAGGACTTCGTCCAAGGTCACACAGCCACCAAGTGGTGGAACCAAGTCTCAGCACTCAGCAGTCTGACTTGGCTTCTTGTGACCAAGCTGTTTGCCACCTGAGAATGGTGCTCGGCATGTTGCCGCCCTTTGGAAAGTGAGTGGGAGAGTGTGGTAGGGGACCTACTTTCTCCTTTGGGTTATCTCTAAACCTAGGCAAATTTCTCTATTTTTTTGAACCTCAGTTTCCCCATTCGTCAAGTGGGTGGTGTTTTATCCTTGACTGATTGCGGATTGGAAGGTTGCATGGATATTTCTATCAGGACTTTTAGCTCTAAGGATACTGTTACTTCATTTGGAAATTCCTATTTTTCTCCTTGGGAAAAAGGAAAAGGCTGTGGCTGAAGGAAAGAGTGAAGTCTCCATCTTTGCTTTGGATTCTGGGAGGCTCTAGAGATAGTAGGAATCTTGGTTTCTCTAGTGACTATTTCAAGTTGTTGATATTGTGGAAGTGACACTTTCTCACTGAATGCTGAAAGTGGATATTGTGGATCACCATTTGATGGCATAAGAACTTAGGCTGAGATGATGGTTTCAGTGAGATGTCCCAGCCCCCAGGTTGCTAAGCAACAGATGGCCAGTTCACTTTTTGGCAAAGATTTTTACTATGGCACTGCTCCTAGGTGGTGCTCCATAGTTGTTATTTCATTCATTCACTAGCTCAAAGGGTCTAAGTTTGCTGATCCAGGGGCAAGGAAAATGTCATGTCACGTTAAGTGGAAGTTGGTGTCAATGACTTGCATAGGAAGAGTGATCATATAGGTGTAGTGAGATTTGGACTGGTCCTCCTGTAAGAATAGAGAAA